CCCTTCACCTCTCCCTGTCTCAGTTTCCCCTGTAACATGGTGCAATGTGTGTTGTGGAGGCTGTGTTGATCCACGGGGCAGTCTCTCCCAGGGAGGAGGAGTTGGCTATCCGCAGAGCCCTCAGGCTGCGGTAATGGCACCAGGGCGGCTCTGGTGCCTGTGTGGGAAGATTCCTTTCTGCTCCAGCATTCAGAGAGATACTTGCACCCAGCTGGGAGTCTTAGGCTGTGCCGGGGGCCCCAGTGTCTCTGAGGCTCTTTGAGATCCTGGGATGAAAGCTGCCAATTATCATGGAACCTGGGACATCCCAACAGGCTGCTTCCCCTAATGCCCCAGTCAGTGCATTTCCCAGCATGCTGTTCTTTCTGGGCCTGTCTCTCGCATTCACCCCTCAGCTCCAGTGGGAGTCTGGCTCAGGTAAGACAGACTCAGGAGGGTCTGCAGCATATGCCCTTTTGCAGGCCTATTTTTCTTTGAATAAAGAGATTCACTTTGAATCTACGAGCCTGATGTTGATTTTTCAAGCGGCCGCAGCATCCGTGAGGTGCTCACAAAGGCTTTGCTGGGGTAAAACTCCTCTCCCGGGAACAAACAGCCATCATAGCACTATTTATTTATTAGCAGGAGGACAATTTGGAGATGGATTGGCGGGTCTGGCAAGATCTGGGGCCTACATCAAACGGGACAGCAAGGTTGGATGACTGGAAGCCAAGTGAGAGGAGAGGAAGCTGTGGCTGAGATCCTCCCAGGCAGTTAGGGGCTATAGACCTTGGAGGATGTGGGCCTAACTGTCCAGTTTGTTCTTTCCTCTAGCAGTTGCTGGGCAGGCGAGGTGGTCCCTTCCCAGGTGCTGCCCATCAGCTTGTGAGCTTTTGTTATGAATGAAACAAAACAGATCCAGGAGCCTGCACCGCTTGGCTACTCCTGCTGGTTCCGATTCATTTCCTTTTCTAACCCGACTCAACTTCTTTGCGCTATTTTGAATTCCAGGAAACCAATTCTTTACCAGGCAGAATAAATCAATGAAGGAACAGGTAGATTCTCCTATGGGATAGACAGCTGGCTGCTGAGAGAGAGGGTGTGTTTACTCTCTTTGGACACGCGGCAGGACTCTCAACACCTGGGAAGAGTTTCTGTTTACCGTTCAAGGTAAGTCCAATCTATAAGGTCAGAGGTCAAATCTGAGCTTTGCCAGTATTTTACAGGATCAACTGAATGGCTAGACTAAGCTTCTCTGAGCTGCCTAAGGGTTGTAAGCATCCAGCTCGCTTTAAAATGAATGGCATCCAAATCCCCTAGCTCTGCTCCAGGAAAGCAGGAAGCGTTTGTGTGTGGCTGTTCAAAGGAGCAAGGGATATTTCTGGGTCCTGTCATTTCCTATGGTGTTAGTGGTGCCACAGCCACATTGGTGCCTCTAAAATTCTCCAAGTAAACAGCAATAGCCCAACGAAACGCCAACCATCGTATGTTGAATTTGTCCATTGCCGACAACAGACTAGTGCATCCTGCACCATTCCTCCAGGGCGACAGTGGGCCAAGGAAGGCTGTCTCATCATCAGAGCTCTGATTTCCAAGTAGGACCTTCTGGAGATGATACCATTGCTTCTCGTGGGGGGTGAGTGTTGACCGACACGCCAATCCCTAACCTGGATGAACTTGTCCATAGTTTAGTCAGTCGGATCCTGTGCTTAGCCAGTCGTCTAATGTGCCTTTCCCTTTTGCTGAACTAATCAGTCAACGAGCATTCATTGATCTGGGCGGGGCTGAGGTGGGCACACCACAGAACTTGTGTGAATGAGAAGATGAATGTTTGGGCTTGGAAAAATCACCTCTTTAAAAGCATTATCCCACTGAAGGGGGAACATGTCCCAGTTGCCTGGGCATCAGGGCACCATGGCTTTGCTACCAACCCTATTGTGGGACCCTGGGCAAGTCCCTTCACCTTTCTGTTTAGATTGACAGCTCTTCAGGGTAGGGACTGTTTCTCCCACAGTGTTTGTATAGCGCCTAACACAATGGTGCCCTGATCTCAGGTTAGGCTTTTAACTGCTAATGTACTATAAATAATAAGACCCCTGTGGTTTTTTTTGGGGGGGGGAACACTCAATAACGCAATCTTTATATTCATTATTACATGTACTGTAGATTTATGGTACCCCCTGTAGATTATATTTACTCTGTAGATACAGTTGGTCCTTTCCACAGGGTAAAAATGTGCTGAACAAACAAAAAGATTTTCTCCCCCAAGGAGTTTATAGTCTAAGTCCAGAGGGGTTATAATACAGTATGGAACAAACACAGGGCGGGTGTGGTCTTTAAAGCTGGAAGGTTTCTGTGTTTTTCTGATCGTTTCCTTCTTGGACTCTGCAATGCAGACTGTGGGCCATGGCACCTAAATCTCTCTTCTAATTAATAAGCCAAATGTGTGTGCACATTGGTGTACTGCAAACAGTCAGAGCGCTATCAAGTTGGTAGAAACAACCTCACCTTTGTAAAGAACAGAATTCAAGATAGACTAAATAGCAGTGTAACAAAGCATAGATTGAGGGAATGATTGGGGCGCATGAACATTATATGAATGTTTAGTAATGCGAAGTACAAGATAACATCTTGTGGACGAATTTGTTGCGTTTGCAAACATCTTCCTAATAATTATACCTAGCTGTTATGTGGCACTTTTCATCAGGAGTGTGCAAAACACTTCACAAAGAAGGACAGTAGCATTAGCCCCATTTTACAAATGGGCAAACTGAGGTGCAGAGAGAACGGCTCAGATCCTCAAATGTATCAGGACTCCTAATTTCCACTGATTTCAATGGTTTACTTGACAATGTGGGCCAAAGTGACTTGCTCAAGGTCACCTAGCAAGCCCGTAGCAGAACTGGGAACAGAATTGAGCTCTCCTGAGGGACAGTCCAATACTCTATCCATTAGGCTACACTGCCTTCCTACTAGGTGATTTTGTTATTTTGTACTGTGGTTCTCTCTGTATATCTGCAAACACAAACTTTTGGCTCCAGTATAAATCTGGGGCAGGAATAGGGTGACCAGATGTCCCGATTTTATAGGGACAGTCCTGATTTTTTTTGTCTTTTTCTTTTATAGGCTCTTATTACCCCTCACCCCCTGTCCCGATTTTTCACACTTGCTGTCTGGTCACCCTAGGCAGGAACCCGTAGATTTCATCTCTGGTTTTAAAAGCAGGGTCTTCTGTCTCTGTCAGGCATGCCGGGGGTTTCTCTGCCTCAAGAGCAGCTCCTGGCTGTCAGATTCACAGAACAATTTTATTTCTACATTATTATTGCTTAACCCTGTGTATTTTTTCTCTAACCAAAGCACGTTTTGACCTGTACCGTATGATGCCATCTTGTAACCGTTCTGCCGTGATCCAGTGCAGGTCATGTTGGACTCTGGAGTTTGTGCAGGGACGTACCAAAAAGAACACAAGGCCCTTTCCTGCATTCATTGCGCAACCTCATCTCCCCCTAAAACCAGGGCTGGATCTGGCTGTAATTTTCTATGATGAAACCTGGATCCATTTCCTATTTTTGAAGTGTGGTAACTATTAAAAAATGCATCCCACCTGTGAGGTTATAGAGTGGACAATAAAAACAGCCCAAACAGTAGTAAATGATGGTACTTGAAATGCGAATACCACATTTAATTCCTAAGGCCAGGTCTACACTACCCCCCTAATTCGAACTAAGGTACGGAACTTCAGCTACGTGAATAACGTAGCTGAAGTTCGAAATACCTTAGTTCGAACTTACCTTGGTCCACACTCGGCAGGCAGGCTCCCCCGTCCGACTCCGCGGTACTCCTCTCGCCGAGCTGGAGTACCGCAG